CTTTCTTTCAGCTTGGTTGTACTTTCGGTCCAGCTTGGTTGTCCTTTCTCTCTAGCTTGACTCTCTTTTATCTCTATCTTGGTTGTCTTTTATCTCTATCTTGACTATCTTTTCTCTCTTTCTTGGTTGTCATTTCTCTCAATTTTGTTTTCCTTTCTCTTAGCTTGGTTGTACTTTCGCTCCAGCTTGGTTTCTCCTTTCTCTTCAGCTTGACTCTCTTTTATCTCTATCTTGGTTGTCCTTTCTCTCTATCTTGAATATCTTTTCCCTCTATCTTGGTTTTCATTTCTCTCTATCTTGACTATCTTTTATCTCTATCTTGGTTGTCATTTCTCTCTATCTTGGTTTTCCTTTCGTTCAGCTTGGTTGTACTTTCGCTCCAGCTTGGTTTCCTTTCTCTCTAGCTTGACTATCTTTTATCTCTATCTTGGTTGTCATTTCTCTTTATCTTGGTTGTCTTTTCTTTCAGCTTGGTTGTCATTTCTCTCGAGCTTGGTTGTCCTTTCTGACTGATCGCAGACTGCCTGTCAAAGGCCCGTTTGATATTAACCACTTAGCCATATAACTATGTCAATGACCCGTCCATATGCTCAGTCCCAGGCAGATTGAAAGGAGCTCTTCAATTATAGTTATTTTTGACCACGAATATACATAATGATTACATATAATATAATACTATTTTATTTTGACGCACAACCCGTGACGTCAGTTGTATGATCACTCTTTGTTAAGAAAGCTAACATACCGTTCTGCTTCGTTCCCACACATGGTCGATGTTTCCATGTCGGAGTAAGAACGACAGACTGTCTCGCGATCTTACAAAATTCATTTAAGTACCAACAGTAATGTATCAGGTCTACGACCTAATCACTTCAGGCTTTGCTCCAAACCAGTCCGACACGTCGTGATACACCTGAAATATTGTTTAGCTCATTCACCAAAGAGCTCCGTGTTTCCAGTTCCCACGCGCAGCACTTGTTACACTTGGAGAAGAAATACGAATATTGAATTAGATGACTGGTAATGTGGCTTCTTGCGCGGGTGGGTCAGTGGTGTAAGGCTTCACTGGACAGAGTTGCGTCCCTTAGACGTACAAGGATCCAATGATCGTTGTTCGAATTGGCACTATGAGCCTGGATTATTGTCTTTAGTTTATCAGCATTATTACCCGCGCTCGCGAGCTTCGCCAAAGTGGTAAGGGCCTACCATATTACTAGTCTCTCTTCCCACATTGCCGAAGGGCCGTACACGGTTGTTATACAGAAAGACGGGTTCTCATGAAAGGAGTGGGCGAGTGAACGCAGTCAGCAATATACCAGCTAGGACGGCGACCTGTAACTAACCGACTCTGTCGGCCACCGTTATAATCTAGTGATCGAATCGGTGTAACGATTCAACACTTTAGCTACTCGGCTACCCGAACGCCCTCTGCGAAAATAGGAGAATAAATTGTTTTAGTATAATTCCTTTTTCCATGTTAGTGCATCAAACCTGATACTTTTGATTTTAAAGAAAGTCGTGTTTATGAATAAGCGTGATACTCATGTATTATCGAACCATGGAAACTGGGCCCTGCTCCTGTTGAGGAGATATTGTGGATCGAATATTTAGACACTGCCAGTTTACTTATACAAAACTGTAGGGCAGTGTCCTCTTCCGAAGTTCTTCACAGCTTAAACTATACTTGACGGAAATTATTCGCTCTAAATTACACACGGGATTTGCAGTATCAAATGAGATATCATTCCGATATTTTTATGCTATTACGTCATCAGAACATGAATTGTCTCGTCGTAATGTACATTCTCAACATGGCATGTGAAATAGATGTGAACAACGCAATCGACATTGAGTATCTGTCCTTCGTCACAAAGCTTGTGGATTTACACCCTTCATACAACTGGGGCCCTCGTTCGTCCGTTCCTCTCTAGTTTCTACACATAAAGCGCTCCATTTCTCGTTGAGGAATATGGTGATATTGCCTGTTGAACGTTCTTTCTGCCAGCCGCACGGATACACTGTATGTGTTTACTCCTACAAGGAACATGAGTAGAAAACGTCACCGCCAGAGGGTAATCAGGAGAACAATATGACACATCTAGAACAAAGAGAGCCCTATGATATCGGACCTTATTCTCTTGATGTTCACTGTCATCCTAGCTATATATACTGAACCGCAAAGGAAACGTCACTATGGATAGATATGTGAGAAACCTTATTTGTCCAAACACTGTAAACATACTTTGAGAAATATTAAAATGATGAAACTTAGCAAAACTGATCATCAAGGTTGAAATAAAGGTGTCAAAAGTTCTTAAAGTGAAAGACAACACTTGTCTCTTAGAAAATGCCATCACAAGTCAGTATCTCGTGTGTCCGCCATTTGCATTAATGACTGCCGTCGATACATGATATGAACGAGGCGGTTGATAGGCACTTGAGCCCACACTCTGAGGAACGCCTGACGCAGTTCAGCTGCAGTTGTCGGCCTTGGTCGGACGTCATTCAGCCGTCTTTGAATCTCCTCCCACGAGTGCTCAATGGGATTTAAATCGGGACTGACGGCAGGCCACTGCATGGTTCAGATGCCATTCTGCTGGAGGAAGTCTCTTGTTGCTCTCGCAATGTGGGCACGGGCGTTATCATGCTGAAACTCGTGGTTGCGGCGACGTGCCAAATGAGGTATGGCGTGTGGCATTGATCAATGAACCGAGCTGCTGTGACACCATTGCCTCTCCCTGGACCGATGTTCTGGAAGACCACAGGGCCGACTTCATGTGCAAGACCAATTCCACCCCACACCATGATGCTCGGACCACCCCACGAGTCTCTCTCAACAACACAAGCATCCGAATAACGTTCCCCATGGCGTCTGCCATCTGCTGTTGAGATACAGTAACGGATCTCGTCTGAGAAGAGGATTCTTCCCCATTGCTGGTGGCACCAATGCTGGTGCTGTGTTGCCCACTGAAGATGGTCACGGAGATGACGTGGTGTCAGAATGGGTTCTCGGTATGGCCTGTGACAGTGGAGGTGTCTGCTCGTCAATCGTCGACGCACGGTGTGCCCACTAATGTGTCGCTGGTGTGTCCCCATGGTCTGTCGAGCAGTTTCCGAAGCAGTAACAAAGCGATCTTGAAGATGCTGTCGCACAATCTGACGATCCTGACCTCGGGTGGTCGGTCATATGTAGTGTTGGTGGTCTGGTACCGTTGCTGGAGCCTGTATATGGTCCTTACGTGGCTATTAGCAGGGCGGTTTGTCCAGCTTGCAAGGGCTTGGTGTCGCAGATTTCTTTCAATCTTGGCATGTGGTAGCAGTTCAATAACGAATGAATGTTATCCAATCTGGACGGATTTTTATAGGGCAAGAATTGGGGGAACGCATGTGCATTTCAATTTGCACGGAACGCACGTGTATCGGGTTACCATGGCCGTTGCCGTGATGCGTTTGGGCGATCGGTTTTATTGTCATCTGTTTTGGGTTTTTTAATCATCAAATTTCATTTTTGCGGACAAGGTAATGTTAAATCTTGTAATGTAGTATAAATATGTTAATGTTGAGGGGAGTTTGTGGACATTTTCAAGAAGTATTTTAACATGGTTTTGTGAAAACACATCTTTTCTGAACAGCCGGTTACTTAATTTTACAAGATCAATATTGTCGTCGTATTATGTTGGAATACAATGGCTGTGCCTATTTACCTTCAACCTGAATTCTTTGGTATCTTATCTTCATCCATGAGAATCTGTCAGATGGCTGTAACACGTGCACGTGGTTGTCCGAATCACAAGTTAGCAAAACGAAAGAGCTACTGGGGCTTGTCATTGACTTCTGTCATCAGCAATCCACGTTTGTATTCTCACAATTGTATTAATTGTTTTTCAATATTGCACAGGCATTAATTTGAAAGTCCACCAACAACTACGGTGTAGGCCAACTACAGATCACAACATCCATAAACTTAACCACCTTCCTGAAAACCCCCAAACCCCAAACATAACAAACAAATGACCCAAATACAAAATATTAGGTAATTGATGTTAACACCTTGTTTTCCTTCTACTAGTCTCCCTTTGTAACCTTCAGGTCAAGGTTTCAAATGACACAAAATATACACAGGCAATTTACTTTTTATCACAAGCATTCACAAAAACAAGTGAAGATTGGAAGCATTTCTATACATCACGCTCCGCTCTTTTTGAAATTGTCAGTGTTCCAGTGACCCGCATTCTGATTGTCAGAACAGTCTTTCCGTATTTGCCAGTAACAGTGGTTTCTGCAAAATATTTAGACAAAAAATTCAATACATACAACTATAGATAGGTGTAAATATAATATATACGAAACATACATAAAACACGATAATCACAGGAGGGAATGTTCATGAGTGTTCAAAATTGTTCATGATCACAGATGCGTAACAAAATTGTATGAACTCTACAAATCACATATTTTCTTTAAATTTACAGACACTATTCGAAAACTCGAAAATGGCTGAAGTTACTTTTGCAGCGGATGGAAATGAATATGCATTTATCGACATAGCCTTGAACCATTTAACACTGTGATACTTTACACTTGTGAAAGATTTGTGAAACACTTGCAAAACATTCATGATCTCATTAGCCGAAGGAACCTATCAAATACAGTTCAGAACATGTTTAATTTGGTATGTTCATGAGTGATATGCTCGTAAGATGCAAGAACCACTGTATAGCATTTGATACCGGGATCAGCTAAACAGTGGCACACAATTTGTGCTACAGCTTAACTTTTGTGCTCAAGTTCACCGGTGCTTACCTGTCAATTAGAGTTTACTATATGCAAAGTATTTGAATGTTTTATAAGTTTATTTTACTGTTTCTAATTCAATTCCTTTTAACTAGCGCCAATATGAAAAACATCAATACGTCGATACGAATATATGAATTTGGCAATTAATTTTTACCTATGTCCTTCCCTATTATGATATTAATACACATGCCTCGATTTTTCGGAAAATAAATCATGAAAAACATTATCTTAACACTACGTTCACAAACAACACTCATATGTTCGTTAACATGTTGGTACAATAAATATCGTCCTATAGATAGCTATCTATTTCTAAGGTCGTATTATGGAAGTATGTGGGAAACACATCCTTCCTTTTCAACAACACTTAATGTAAATGCGGGTAAAATATAATTTGACCTCGGGTTTTTTCAAAATATAATACATCGTCCCCTGGAACATATTAGCTATAATAACGTAAAAAACAATGTGCTGTAGGTCCCCAGAAAAATATATGTATGTTTTTAAGCTCTGGCTGAAAATATTATGTTGTAAACAAAACTCTCAGGGAAATAATATTCTGTTGTTCACACGTGTAAAGGTCACGGAAGGTAGTAACTGTGAGCTGAAATGGCGCTACTGTGTGCAAACATATGGTACAGACAATGACCCATGGGAGACAACTCGCTTTAATCGAGGTAACTAGTCGCTGACGTACCGTTGGATAATAAATGTAATTCATTTCTTAAGGTTTTTTCATTACAGGAGCTGCAAAACATTTTCTTGAAGGCAATGTTGAAGCGTCTGTTGGTTTTCATGTAAATAACAAAGTTTAAGGCAGAATTCAAACACTCGAGCACAATGTTCATGTTGCTAAGCAACAAAAACATGTTGTTGTATCTTCCATTTCGAGAGAAAGATGGGACAAATCTCCTCATCAGTACTAAGACTGACCCTGGAACAAGGCAGATGACGTAGACTGACGTCACGGCTAGAAGCATGACGGTCACACGCCTTTCCTCCATGAGAATACCAGACTTTGCCATATTTGAGGATTGTTTGCGAAACTTTTGACCTCTTTTGAGGGATGCTAGAACAGCTGTGGTGCAGAACAGCACCACAATGCATGGGGTTATCCTCAGCAAGGTTGCCAGGGCAATGTTTATATAGTTTTCCATTACACCTTCGTTCTTGATATAAAAGTCTGTCCATGTCACGTACAAAACAGATCTGTTCTGCACCGGATCTAGAGTCCATCTGGTATAGGAACAAAGAGTTAAAGGAAACATTGCAACTGACACCATGATGAATATTGCTATGACAAGCTTCAGTGCGCGCGCACGTGTCACCACAGCTCTCACCTTTAAAGGGAAAAGTACGGCAAAACATCTTTCAATGGCAATCACCATGGTAAGGACACTGGTGACTCTTGCAAACGTTATTCCAATGATATACCACTGTGGCACCATAAACACACCCCAGTTCTTTCCAATTACCTCATCAAACATGGATACAACGCAGGACATCTTTCGAACAAATGTAATCAACAGATACATGGTATCTGATATAGCCAAGCTAATGAGCACCACTCTCGTCCTGTCCCGTTTCTTCTGCCTCAGAAACACAACAAAACTCATGATGTTGCCTATTATTCCCAATATGGTGATGACGGGAACAAGGCCACAGCTAGAAATATTGATAATAAATTCCGATGTTGCCTCGTCAACCATGTCATCATTCGGTACCGTTGCCTTGTTCCGGTGTAAAGAATAATTGGATATATACTTGCCCGAAACATGGAGGGATTCGTTAGTCACAGCCATGGGCATGATAATATGTACAGCTGAATAGGTTCAGGTGTATCGTTTGATGTTTGAAGAATCCTTTGATCCTAGTCGGTGTCCAGGTATATTAATGTATTTCAAGACTTAGAATGTCGCCTGGAGCATAGTCAGTGACCAAGGATAATCTATTGAGATTTTATCACACAACTGGCACCTGCCTGTGAAGAGATCCATGTATTCCGAAAATATGAGCATGTCCTCCGTGCAGTCGCAGTGACAATGGCCAATGGTAGACGACATCGATCTCCAATGGATGAAGCAGTTCTCAAACGACCTTCAGCCAAAGCTGACCACTGAATGCTGTTTGCTTTCCTCGTCTGTTCAGAAGATAAGGAGTTGAAGCGTCTTTGGTTAATTATAAGGTGATCAGAACCACTTGATATTGGTTTTATGCACGTAAAGTAGTTCACGAGAAATTCAATCATAGTGTCCAGGTCTCCTGATGAATCCGTTTAGTTTGACACACCACTAACCCTGTATCCCGTCAGAGTCTGTTGGGTTTATTCCAATTAAAATTGATCTCTTTTATGACGAATTCCTTGCTTCTGGCCCAAAAAGGTACCGGACAAAGTCCTGGTGTACAGAACCTTGTTTTAGAATTGACGAGTATTTTTGATTTTCTGTATTGACTGCAAGTAACTTCAATTTTAGAACGGCTTATACCGGTGCTATATCATCCCTCGTTTCGTGAGTTACTCGCATCGTCAAATCCCACGGAACACCATCTGGAATACAACAATGACAACGTTTTGAGAAAAAAATACATGTTGCCAAGAATCTATCCCCAAACATTATTGATTTTGCAGGGATATATGCGTGACACACTATCTGCATAAGAACACCACAAAAATACATTGTGGGGAAATCAAATTTAATTAAGCAATTATAGATGACTTGAACGTTTTAAACTGTAAATTCAGAAGCTGTAGTCATCGTATTAAACAGTATATTTGTGTCACAACAAATTCAGTATTTGTACTTTTTTGTAATGAGATGGAATCAATTTCTTTTTCGATGAAACGGTACTTTCCTCATGAAAATATAATATAGACTTCCGGTGGATGTATGGTTGTCCTTGGTTGTACTGAGAATGGACTATCAGGAAAATACTTTAATTCATGTTGTTAAGCGGGGATTCCATAGAAATAATACTTTACCCGTGTGATGCTTTCTAATTAGATCATGATAGACCACGATTATTTTATTCCTTGGATTTTATCAAACAAACAAACACACGAATCCTGTGAGAGGCAGGTGCTACAGGAAGCAGGACTTCTTTCCCTTTTTACGAACACCTGATGTCACCAGTGATCCATGCACATATTTATCACCACAATTTGGCCGTTTACGCTCAGTGGAATCTGTTTCGGTAGATAATCGAGGCTGGTTATTCTCTGGCGTTGACGTTACATATTCTAATTATTTTCACTTGCTAACCTTGCATTTAGTGAGTTCTGCATTCCAGTAGTAGCTATGGTCTCGGCAAAATATATCCATGTTGACGTTAAACTTAAACTCTGTATTGCCTTTCTTTCCGACACGGATCAATTATGCCTTATCCAGAACGTTCAGTCCTGAAATTTCTAGGAATGGACCATTGAAAATCAGTGATGACACCAGGTGTTCGCGAAAGGGATGCTTGTCCTTCCCTACCGGTAGCATCCGGGTTGGTCATTCAAATATGTCTCTCTCTGGCTTGAAACTGACGTAGGTTAGTTTCGTCCACATACATGCTCTCTTTTACGGTGCACTCACCAATACCACAGTTACAGGTGTGTGTGTGTGTGTGTGTGTGTGTGTGTGTGTGTGTGTGTGTGTGTGTGTGTGTGTGTGTGTGTGTGTATTCTTTTCATTCATGATAAAACAAATCAGCTGTTGTCAACATGATCAGGTAACCTATGTTACATTTAAAAAGTGACTTTCACTTTGTGAGTTCATTGAGTATCGAAAGTGAAAGTAAATTATTATATTTATATATCACTATTTTATACCTCTAATCTGTTTATTCAGTACATGAGTGGGCCAGCGGCCCATAGTACAATTCGGTTCACCAGGCATGTATAAAAATACAACTGTGTACACCTAAATACACAACAGCAAGGCATTCATAGATAAAGAATATTACTTCTGCAAAAATGAATTCCTTAACTTAAAAGCGTGGTAAATATAACAAGCCAGACTTCTAATTGTTGACTGATGCAGAGACGACATAAGTATGTAAAATTGTTCTATTGATGGATTTATATAATATTTTTGAGGAATATATGTCACTCGGAGAGCATAATATTTTTCACAAACCAATACAAAATGGTATTCAGACTCAACATAGCCTGTTTTACAAACCATACATAACCTTCGCTGTCTTGGGATACCAAAATATCTCCCGGTTTCTATGTGGAGCGAGTGGGAGCTAGCTCTAAAACGTGCCAGTGCAACGCGAAACTTATTGATTGTAATAGCCGATAAATAAAATTCCCTGCTAAACCTAAATTTATAACAAAGATATGATGAATACTTGGGGCTATTGGTCAAAGCAAAATGCCAATCTTGTTCATAAGAGCATTTTAATCTTTGTATGAACTCATCAATAAATGAAATAGAAATAACAAGATGCTGATTTTCCCATACGTAGCCAAAGCCATAGGCGTACAAAAGTAATTTAACTCTAGAGGCCCAATTAGTCTTACCTGCTATGGCCTGCTGCACAAGCATATTGTAACTTTTTCGTGGATAACGCGAATCGGGCATCTTTAAAATCTTACACCAATAATTCAAGCATCTTTTGAAAGCATAGATATACAAAGGGTATCTCCCACACTCTCCACGCACAACATGATTGGAAGTTGCTGACTTAACTCCTAAAATACGTTTACAAGCAAGTGTATGAACAACTTCAATCTCCTCGCAAAACGATAAAGATAAACCCCAAACTTCTGCACCGTAAAGAAATACTGGCACAACTTTAGCATCAAAAATTTTAAAGAAAATATTCATAGGAGTAGGTTTAATTAGCTGTAGGGACTTCAAAAGCTTAAACAAAACCTTTTTAGGTTGATTAACAACATTAGATATATGTGCACTCCAAGATAGATTTCGAAAAAATAATACACCAAGGTATTTATATGTAGTTACACATTCCAACAATTTTCCATCGTAAACCCATTTTTCATATTTTGAAAGAACACTCCCATTTTTAAAAACTACTACTTTAGTTTTATCAATATTGACTGTTAATGAATAATCTTTACAATAACATTCTAACACATTGATTCTTTTCTGGAGACCATAAACAGTATCTGCTATGAGAATGACATCATCTGCGAAAAGTAATAAAAACAATTGAACTACATCTGGATGAAATTGGATACCATGTGCGCAACTGGATTCAATATCTATGGCAAGATCATTTATGAACAAGGCAAACAAAATGGGACTAAGGACACATCCTTGACGAACTCCCTTACTGCAGCTAAACATATCAGAAAATGAGTTATTGTATTTGACCAATGCCAAAACTTGTTTATAAATTGACTGTATACAACAGAACATTTTCGGAGAAATACCATTTTTGTATAGTACCATACGCAATTTGGATCTATCTATGGAATCAAAGGCTTTGGCAAAATCAACAAACAAGGCATAAATCACACCTCGTTTCTTAGCCAAATATTTCTCTATTACTGAATATAAAACAAAAATATTATCAGTTGTGGAATATCCACTCCTAAAACCAGCCTGAGACTCTACTAGTCTATCATAGGATTCCGACCAAAACTGAAGTCTTCTGTTTAAAATAGAAATATAAAGTTTACTGAATACACTTAAGATAGTGATACCCCTATAATTAGTGGGAGAATTGGCATCGCCTTTCTTATATATAGGAACAATGTGGCCAACAGCCCAAGATGAGGGAAAATATGCAGAATCAAATATAGCATTAAAGAAGAATGTCGAAAAAGGAACCAGAACATCAGGAGAAGACTTAAACATTTCTGCTATCAGTCCATCGTCTCCCGCAGCTTTATTATTTTTCAATCCTGTAATCGCATCAAGCACTTCATCCTGTGAAATAGGGGAATCAAGAATACTCTGAGTTGTTTCGTCAAAATTAACATCGTCAAAAACTAAATTCTCCTCAACCTCTGAAGAAGAGTATTCACCAAATAAGTTCTTAAAGTGCTGATACCAATCTCCTAGTTCTATATTAGGAGAGCGTCTCCTTCCCTCACCAGAGAGTAGCTTCAATTGTGACCAAAATATTTTGCTGTTGTGTATGCCTGTCACCATATTACTAAGAATTTTATCTTGGTAGGCTTTTCTTTTGTTATGGAGTATATTTGTATATTTATTTCTTGCATGTAGATAGTTTGAAAGTGCCAAATGATCCCCAAGTAGTCTATAAACTTTAAGCAGTCTTTGCTTTTCAAATCTAAGAAATTCACACTCTTTATCAAACCAAGGTTGCTTATCGACTAACCAAGCAGATGGGCAAAACTTACGCATACATTCTGCTGCATTACCTAATAAATCTGAGAATAAAGTTACAGCATCATCAAATTTTCCAGATAAAATATGTTCATTACACTGATCAAACACTGAAGCTGACTTGTCAGAAAGTAATACATCTCTAAATGTTGACACTTTATCTTCATTCCACACATAACGGGAGTTGTCACGCACATCTCGTGCATTACATAAGCTAGCACCCACAGAAGCCATATCACGTGACACAAATGAACACGCAACAGGCAGATGATCTGAATCTGACCTAGATAGGACATCGAAGCGGTCACATGATGTAAACAAGTCAGGGCCTCGAGGGAGGCATTACACAATTTCATTTGGCATGTGTGACTTCCATGTTTGCACTGACAGCCATACAACAACAACTGTAACACGCGGAATAACATAGTTCATCAAAAGGACTGGTTACCTGAGCGTAGGTATACTCAACTTGCTCCTTGGGAACATTTTTCGTAGTTAGGTTTAAAAAAAATAGATTAAAATAATATCATCACTGGATGAAAAATGTCTCTTAAGAACTTCATCAGTAATCCGATTACGGTGACAGCGCGTCGTAATACATGTTCCTCAAATACAGGAGGTCAAAATGGTCAACACGAAAAACCTGACGGGAGAGAGATTACAAGTGTTAGTCATTGATCAATTGGCCGATCATTGGAAGGTGATTACAAAGATGTGTCAAAAAGATAATAAGGTAAATTTATAGTCTGCTGTAGACTGTCACTTGTCAGTCTAGACACGGATCGAGTCCAAAGTTTGGATGTGCAGGTCTTCGTTTTGTTCACTAGGATGGGTCGTAGCGAGGATGTGCTTCAACGAACATACGGTTAAAGTTTCTGATTTATCCAAATGTATGCTAAAAAAGCTAAGTTCAAGAATAAAGTGTCTAAAATCAAAAACAACGCTTCTGTATCCATGCTACGGCATCCCCAGTGTTTTTCCATGTGGAAGTTGTCCGTCAGTGTTTTTCCATGTGGAAGTTGTCCGTCAGTGTTTTTCCATGTGGAAGTTGTCCGTCAGTGTTTTTCCATGTGGAAGTTGTCCGTCAGTGTTTTTCCATGTGGAAGTTGTCCGTCAGTGTTTTTTCCATGTGGAAGTTGTCCGTCAGTGTTTTTCCATGTGGAAGTTGTCCGTCAGTGTTTTTCCGTGTGGAAGTTGTCCGTCAGTGTTTTTCCGTGTGGAAGTTG